TGTTGAAGCGCGTGGCTAGAACTCCGGCCACCGTGACGTGCAGACCAGTGAGTACAGCTTCGTCTCATGATCACCCAATTCCAATCTGACTCCCCCAGGTTCGGCCTCGGTGGGCTCCGTCCTTTGGCGTCCCAAGCAGGACAATTCATCATCCCTTGCGATCGGTCTCGAAATCCCTCTCTGCTCGCTCGCTGAGTACCACAGCCTCCGCTCGGGTCGAAGGTTTCCACTCACAGCATGAGAATGCCTCAACGCCTTTCTCTGAGACTCCCTCGGAGAGGCGGACGCCGCAGACCTTGACGGAGAAGATTGTACAACGTTATGCTGTCGGTCTCCCTGAAGGAAAGCTCGTCCGAAGCGGCGATTATATCAGTCTGGCCCCTGGGTATTGCATGACCCACGACAACTCGTGGCCCGTCGCCCTCAAGTTCATGTCTATGGGAGCTACGAAGGTGCACCGCCCAGAGCAAATCGTGATGACGCTCGACCACGACGTCCAAAACACCAGCGCAGCGAACCTTAAGAAATATGAGCAGATCGAGACTTTTGCTGGACAGCATGGTATCGACTTCTATCCTGCTGGTCGGGGTATTGGGCACCAGGTTATGGTGGAAGAAGGATATGCGTGGCCGGGTACCATGGCGGTAGCCTCAGACAGCCACAGTAACCACTACGGTGGAGTTGGTTGCCTTGGAACTGCAGTTGTGCGGACCGACGCTGCTAGTATTTGGGCAACGTCGCGGACATGGTGGCAGATTCCCCCTGTTGCGCGGGTAACGTTTACCGGAACCCTACCAGTAGGCGTGACAGGCAAGGATGTGATTGTCGCATTGTGTGGGCTGTTCAACAGTGACGTGTTGAACCATGCAATTGAGTTCAACGGTTCTGAAGAGACTATGGAAAGTCTACTTGTGGATAGCCGCCTGACAATTGCCAACATGACGACGGAGTGGGGCGCGCTCACGGGTCTCTTCCCAATTGACCGCACTCTGAAACGCTGGCTACGATACAAGGCTACTGAGGCAGCGATGTCTGACGACCGCACAACCCGGCAGCGCATCACGCACGAAAGAATCGACGAGCTGTTCGCAAACCCCCTCACAGCCGACCCCGATGCTCAATATGCCAAGCAGCTCTACCTCAATCTCTCTACTCTCTCGCCCTACGTCTCAGGCCCTAATTCAGTCAAGGTCGCAACACCACTCAACGAGCTCGCCCAACAGAACATCAAGGTCAACCGCGCATATATCGTCTCCTGTACCAACTCACGTGCTTCCGACCTTGCGGCGGCCGCTAAGGTCTTCAAGGACGCCGCGAAGGCCAACCCCGGCACGACTCCCAAGATTGCCGACGGTGTCAAACTCTATATCGCGGCTGCCTCCGCTCCCGAACAAGAGGCAGCCGAATCCACTGGTGACTGGCAGGCTCTGCTCGACGCCGGTGCGCAGCCGCTGCCTGCTGGATGCGGACCATGCATTGGCCTCGGAACAGGTCTTCTGGAGCCCGGTGAGGTAGGCATCAGTGCGAGCAACCGTAACTTCAAGGGACGTATGGGCTCGAGAGACGCGCTGGCATACCTGGCAAGTCCCGAAGTCGTGGCTGCCAGTGCTCTCAGCGGTGTTATCTCTGGCCCGGGCGCGTACCAGGTGCCAGAGGACTGGTCTGGCGTGGAACACGGATTCGGCACCGGTCTTCCTCCCACCACTGAGACTGAGCTCACCAACCTACTACAACAGATGGAATCTCTGATCGATCGGGTTGAGTCCGCCGCAGACGATTCCAAGCCTGCCACCGAGATTCTGCCGGGCTTCCCCGAACGGATCAGCGGCGAGATTGTCTTCCTCGATGCCGACAACCTCGACACTGATAGCATCTACCCCGGTAAATTGACATACCAAGACAACGTCTCGAAGGACGATATGGCCGCCGCTTGCATGCAAAACTACGATCCTGAGTTCAAGGGAATCGCCAAGCCAAGTGACATCCTCGTCGCCGGCTTCAACTTCGGTTGCGGATCCTCAAGAGAACAGGCAGCGACTGCCATTCTGGCCAAGCAGATTCCGCTGGTCGTGGCTGGCAGTTTCGGCAATATTTTCTCCCGAAACAGTATCAACAACGCCCTCATGGGCCTTGAAGTCCCCAGACTTATTGAGCGCCTCCGTGCCAGCTTCGCTCAGCCACCCCCTGGTGACGCTGCGGGGCGACAGTTGACGCGCCGCACAGGCTGGACTTTGACATGGGACGTGAAGCGTAGCATCGTCGAAGTTAAGGAGGGTGAGTCTGGTGAGAGCTGGACGGAGCAGGTCGGCGAGCTGCCAGCGAATGTACAGGAGATCATCGCGGAAGGTGGGCTAGAGGCGTGGGTCAAGGGTAAAGTTGCGAAGTCGGAGTGAGGATACATTAACCAGGCCAGACGAATGCCGGTGGGAAAGGCCAGCTCAGAGAACACACGTTGATTTACTCGTGTTCAAGGTAACGGCCGTCATACTTTTGGCTGCTGTACGTTTTTGCATATCTAATTTTTGTACTATTTCCATCATTATCGGGTATCATAGAGAAGCCTTCTGACTGTTCAACAAGGACAAGTCTTCAAAAAGAATAAGAATATACTAGAACACTTTCACCAGAGACGATCTTTCTTTTCCTCCTCGTCATGTAGCTGCATCAGACACCGTTCACTACCAATTTCTCATCAGCTGTTTAGCAGCGCCTAATAACGCACTATTTTGGACCAGTTTCTGCCTAGTTAGTAGTTCCTTGATTACATATATGTAGGTATATTGGATTTGAAAATAAATTATTTCTTGAGGAGCCCGAGGGCCCAAAATATACGCCACGCCATCGCCCCATTCCCATGCCTTCCCCTTGCTATCCGACTTTCTCGACTTGGCGCTATTTCTGCTGCCTGCCATACCATTGCCTTTGTCCCAACGCGTTGCATTATGTAGAGTATAGCTGCTAATCTTGAATACAGTGTAAAATAAGAAAATTGAAGGATATAAATACATACATATCCTCCAGAGATATATCGGCTTATTTACCTAGTCAAAGTAACGCTGCGCGAAGGGCTAGAACGCCAGACTCACCCTGGAAACAATTTCATGACATAAGTAGTCAAAGAGGAGCACTAAAGAGGTTTTGATCTGCCTTCAGAGAGTTTAGTATACGGTGCTATAGATCCGCGATGAAATCCACATCGTGCAATGGCTCTCATTCTTTTTAACATTCAGTCCCGATCTGACCCAATATTGAGGTTTGCTTGTTACCTAGAATTCCCGACTTTATTATACCAAGACATATGGAGTACTGATTCTCGAGTTCAATTATGACCAGGCTGCATAGGAAAATCTATCATTAGTATCTGAGACATGGCGTTCGTTGAATCGATAGTGCCTTCAAAGGTTCGGCCTATTCTAATAATCCTACAATATGGAAAAGACACGCACAGATGGTATCGGGCAGTTCCGGGCTCGGTGTTGACGCTGTCTCATTCCACAAGGATGATCTGCGTGCAAATGGCCCCTGCTTTACTTTGAATTACGTCGACTGTGAAGGCTGCGATTTGCCAACGGATCGTGGACGAAGCGTTGGGCATGGTCACATTGAGTTTTAGTGGCCGATTGCAGGCGTTTGACTTGTCTCATGAAAATGGAAATCTGCACACAGTTATCCCATGCTTCACAGTATGAGATCAGGTATAAATACCGTGGTGTCGGAGAATCTCCAAAGCATCGGTTGGTATATTGATGATAGACGACAAACAACCAACTTACATTGTCAGAGATACCATCTGCCCGTTAGTTCTTTCTGGGCGTGGGTTCAAGGTTCAAGGCTCAAGGTCAAGTAAGGCACTCAGCCCCAGATTCGGAAATAGCCATAGATGCTGTGGAGGCGGGGAAGCCCGGCTGCCCAGACTTATGATTGGTTTCCGCCCCGATTTCCTGGGGATGGCATTGCCGGTGGGACCTACCTTCTGCATGTCTTAGTGCAATTTTCAAGGTTAATCACCTGGACAAGGATGTTTCCAAGACGAACTTATTTGGGGCAAGTGGAGTCGCACTATGTACTCCATGTAGACTGGACAAACCCGGGGAATGTGCTCTCTGTTCCAATACGTGCAGATCCGCGGTGAGGCCATTCAAAGAAGCCGCAGATTGATAACTGGTCTCTAGTATAAGAACCACGGCGCTTTGATAATCATCACCATTGGGGAACTCTGCCTCTTTTCTCCTCCTTCCATATCCTCTTAGCCCAAGCTTGCCCGCCGAGGACGCAACCGTGGAAGACAAAAAACTTACGACTGAGCACAAGATCTCGCTGGATCGGATTGTCGATGGTGCCAATCATACGAAGTATACGAAGTTGAAGACATGTCAATGTCCGCCTCTTTCCTACCTAAATAGGCTTAGTCTCCGCCTGTCCCTACCGAACCTTGGGTACGGAGAATGCTCGGCGCTATGCTCAGTAGTGGGTGTACCAGGACGCAGGTCCCACCAAGAGTAAGTCAAAGGTCCACTGACGTGAAATTCAAAAGTTACAGAAAATTTACTTAAGCTGAACTAGCTCGACCCTAGACCCACCTCCTAGCAAATTACGCGTGTTCATAGGCATCCTCTATACATCCTCGGTTGTGATAGACGAATGGTAAAAGCGGATCGGGCCCATGCCAAAGGATATTCATTGGATGAGGATAACTCCTCCATAGTACAAAGTAGGTTATATTGAGTGGGCATTCGTATGAATTGCGCACCGCCTTCCTAATGGGGACACCGGGCAGAAAGGAAAGTTTCCCCTGATCCATGGATGCATCGCCGAGCCCCCGCATTCGTAGGTTGGCTGTTTCGGGTGTTCTAACGTTCCCATGCATACCCCGTCAAAAACCTTCGCAGCCCGTTCAATCCCCACACTTCCTTTATCTTTTGCCATCTCACCGTTCATATGGCACATTGAATTTTATCCCGCATCCGGTTGTTGCTCTATTCCTGAGATCCCTCTCAGTCATGTTTATCGCGTTCAAAGCTCAGAATGAAGAGGGATTGCGTAACCCAAAGCATAAAAGGCGAAGTGAACGACTCAGCCGGCGAGGATCTACACCGCGAGCCTGCACTTCATGTCGTCGTCGCAAAATTAAATGCGATGGCGAGAAGCCCTGTGAAGCTTGTCGATGGTACAAGAAGCCTGAGCTGTGTGCCTATACGGAACCTCGATCCTCGCAGCCCAGGTAAGGAAGAGAAAACTGGTGACAACCAGGCCCTAATGCTGAGGACACAAACTGATCAAATTAGCCAGCCGGAGAAACTGTCAATACCCTCGCCCGACTACAAAGGCACACTTGAAAGGCTTTTTCCGGACAATGCCCCCGAGAACATCGCCCATTTTTCACGAGATAAATTGTTAGATTTGGTAACCGCAGGCGGAACTCCATATTCTCAACACCAGGACTCATCGATCGCTGCCGGATCCCTCGACACCCACAACTCTACGTTGTCGGGAGAGATGCCTGGTCTGGAATCACTGCATACAATACCCGGAGAGCAACTCGACGAAAGTCAGTGTGCTAGTGCCTCGGAATCGGTTGGGCATATCTCAGACGACGTCAACGCATTATCCCTATCGGCTCGGCACCCAACCTCCTACCTAGGTGTTTCGTCTATTCAGGCCGCACTGAAGGTCATTGCGTGGCTCCACCCAGCAGTTAACTCATACTTCGCTCAGTCCTTGTCTAAAGACCAATGTTTGCAGCTGACCAACTCATTGCCTCAGTCGCGAGCTGCACCTCAAGCTGACCCCCCACCCACGGAACTCCAAATGCTAGATGCATACTTTGTCAACTTCCAGCCGTTTGCACCACTCATAGACGAAGAAGCTTTTCGCACAACTCACTTACTTGGCCGTCGGAAGGACGATCGATGGCTTGCGCTACTCAACATAGTTCTCGCGCTGGGAAATATTACAGCCGCAGGTGCAGATAATAATACCCACCGTGTGTATTTTGAGCGCTCAATGGATCACTTAAATATTCGCTCGCTCGGGAACCCTAGCCTTGAAGTCGTTCAGGCCCTAGGACTCATGGGTGGCTGGTACTGTCACTATACTAGCCAGCCGAATCTCGCATACTCCCTTATGGGTGCATCTCTGCGAATGGCGGTTACGTTAGGCCTCCAGCGGGAACCTTCCGATATTCATTCGATACTCGATCCCAAGAAGTCCGGAATCCAGGAATTCAAACGTCGGGTCTGGTGGTCGCTTTGTTGCTTGGAGACCTGGGGCCACGAGACGCTCGGCCGGCCAAGTATGGATTACTTTGGCCCGAGTATCACAGTTAATTTGCCTAGCCGGCTTGACAAGGTGCACCTTCCTAACCCCTTTTTGCCCTGGTGAGAGACCCAGGTCCCATTTCTAAATTGACTTTTGACAGGAATCTTATTTCGAGGTCCTTCCCTTGACAGAAAATGTTCAATTTATAAAGATTGCGTTAAAAATTCAAGAATCGTTAGCTGCGCTACCGACCCTATCGCACGCGGAGATGTTCGATCTGGACGCGCAGCTTGTTCGGTGGTGGCATGACCTGCCGCCAGTCCTGAAGGATTACGAACCCTGTCCCGAATCACTATATGCAGTGCGTACTGTGATGCGTTGGCGATTCTACAACCATCGCATGTTACTTTATCGCCCCACTCTACTGAACTATGCAATGCGACGAATTCCCTTCATGGCCATTCGGGTTGAGGAACGCACTGCCATTCAGAAATGCCAGGAAATCGCAGCGATTTCTATCCAAGACATCTTCTCGACAACTACATTGAATCAAATGGTCGGCTGGAACGCTGTTTGGATGTTATTCCAGGCCACTATGGTTCCATTGATTTGTTTGTCCGCTGGCGTCGCAGATCACGATTCCGCTGCTTCATTCGAAGCTTGTAAGACGCAGGTTGAAACAGCTATGTTGACCCTTGGCCGCATGAAGCCCTACGGACACACCGCAGAACGCTCCCTTGAAGTCATTTCCGGCATTCTCGAGTCTAACCTTCGTGGTCCCATGGCGGAGCCGGTCGATGCAAGTGGAGATAGTCTCGACCCCCCAAACCCCCCAAACCCCCAAAACTTTCCTGTCAATGCTTTCAACACTGGCCAACAGATCCCTCGCGATCGTGTTGCGGATTGGACTGCTACTTCATTTGAAACGCTTTCGTCTCAGTACATGTGGGAGTATTTGAGCTGGGACCATAGCAATCTCTGGCCCGAGGTTTTTGACCTCAATACTCAGAATGAAAATGTGCCAATGTCTTTCTTGACCTCCCCGGGAGGGAACAGGTGAGATGTTGTGGCATTGCCGTCAATGTATATAATCATATTCCACAAATAATACAAACACATGGGTGATGCATGTTGATTAGACTAGGTCAATATTTGAACTTAGCGACTCTTTCCACCTCGGTCATCGGGACCCTCTGGGCCAATACAGATGTTGGCCATGTGGAATTGCATAGTGGAATGTAAATTCAAATTAGACAATTTACCAAGTCAAGCTAGGATCTAGGAGTGCGAAAATTGTGTTATCAACAATTGGATTCACAAGGAAAAGGAGACCCATTCATCCCGAGCTTCTCGTCTAGATAGTCAGTCCTATCTCGTTTTCAAATATGTCGTTTAGGGAGATGTTGCACTCAGGCTAGCATGAATTCTTATCAAGTCTAATACACATGTACATAGCTGGTAATAAACCCGATGAACAAGACACTGAGCAATTTCATAACATGACTATAGTGGAATATTTGTGGCAATTAAAAAGCACACCATACATGCTATGGCCCTGGAACTGGAAAAGTCCGGCTTGAATAATCTATGCACTCTTAACTTGCACCACCTGGTTCTCATTTTCAGAAACCAAGACCTGTCGTGCTTCCGTACTCTTCTTCCGGGGATTGGGAGCATCAAAGATCTCCGTGAGCTCTTCGAGCGTCCGGTTGTTTGTTTCAACAGCGAAGAAGAAGATAAACACTCCCTGGACGATGTTCCAGCCGGCCAAAATGATATATGTATGCCAGCCAATGACGTCGATGGCATTTCCGACTCCGAACTGATTCACCAGCAAGGCAATATTGGTGAAGACGGAGTACATAGCCATGCCCTTGGCACGAGTTTCATAAGAAAGGCATTCGACGGCGTACATGGCTTGCAATGGGGTCCAGCCAAAGCTGAAACAAGCGCCAATCAAGAAGATAAATACGATAGAAGCAGTGGCCGCTCCTGCGTTCTTTGTGTTTGTGTACACCCCGGTTGTGGCTGAGAAACACGCAAAGCAGATCTTCACATCCAAAAGGTTAGCGTCGGACATTGATAAAAGAAGAACCACGCGGGACATATATACATACAGTGCAAGCAACAGACGCGCCCAGCATCATAGGCCTGCGTCGGATTTTTGGGCCCAGATAACTTCCCAGATAGGCTAGGCCAGCGGAAAGAATGGTGTTTCCAAGATTGACGTTCAGCACTTGCGCTGTATCAGTGATACCAGCTGACGCTAGAAGCCCGCCGATGTAGTAGGTTGTGACACCAGCCTGCGCCCACTGACTCATGAAAGATGCGATACCCACACATAAGAGGCGCCATCTCGCGGCCTTTGTTTTAACAAGAGATCTGAAGTCCCATGCCTTCTTATCCGAGCCTTCAAGGTTGATCGCCTCTTCATATTCTCGGACCTGCAGGTGAACATAGGCATTATCCCGGGAGCCCTCGCCGTGATACTTGGTGATAACGTCCCAGGCTTCCTCACGGCGCCCATGGCTATAGAGCCATCGAGGTGATTCGGGTATAAACCAAACACTCAACACCACCATGCTGGACGAAATCAACTGACACCAGATGGGGATGCGCCACGCGAGAGAACTCTGGTATTTTAGGCATCCTCGACAGGCACCAGCAGCGGCAATAGCTCCGACAAAGTACTGGCAATTATATAGACCGGTCAGAATGTCACGGTATGCAGGGTGACTCATCTCGACGACGTAGGCGGGTGCGGCAGCGGAGGCCAAGGAGTATCCCCAACCTGAGATATATTGTCAGCAGAAGTCCTTTAGGAAGGGCGAAGGCGATGTGTAGCTACGTACCAAGGAAGAATCGGCTGGCGAGTAATTGATCCATGTGGTTGGCAGTACCACCAAGAATAGTGCCCAGGATGACAGAGCAGGATCCAAGAAACATGCCGGACCGTCGACCCCAAGAATCGAGAATAATTCCGACAAACGGCAGCGCGGAGACACCTCCAATGGTGTACATTCCTTGAATCAAAGAGGCTTTGGCACCGACCAAGCCAGAGCCGAAAGTTTTGCGAAACTGTTCGATGGGAAGCAGAGCACCCATAAGCGACCCATCAAACCCTGAACAAGTTAGTGCTGGGATTTTCATTAGCCATCAAGTGCGTCTCGTACCGTTTAAAGCTGAGCAAAGATACGCCACAGTCAGGAATAAATATAGCTTTCTCATCTGAACGCTCCAGGGATTCGGGGGATTGGTCCGCCTGGCGATGTCGAGAGCCAGTGAGCCCTGGACAGTCTCTACCTTGACGCCCTCCTTGACACCCTCCTTGTTCTCCTCGTGCATGGCGTTGCTGGCACCTTCTTTCTCGGCTAGCTGGCCTGGCTGTGTCTTCTCTGCCATAATGCTGGAAAAGTCGTGTTCTCCACGCCGAGGGGTGTAATCCACGAAATAATGAGTCAATGCATTGGCGAAGAGGTGGTTGTGGGATGATATTTATTCTTGCAGTCCCGGGACATGCTTTTCTCTCGGGGTGCTTCGTACGGGGTTGAAGTGGTACGTTAGGTGAAATGTCTCGGATGTCCTTAGCTGAAACGGATCTGCTCAAATTCCCTGGGCCGTATTTGTCCAATCATCGGAGGCCCGTCGGCTCCTCGGTGGGGATGGGAATTCCCCCGAACGGGCCATCGAGGCCGATCGCTACCTAAAAAACCGGGGTAACTCGCCGGCAACTCGCTCTCCACCGAAAATGACTCGGCTTTTCTCCGCCTCCTCCTCGACTAAAAGGGTAATCCTCCGCCTTTACAACCCCGGATTGACCTCCGGACTTTCGGCTCCAACATTATGGCTCTCCACACTCATCTTGTGGATATAGAGTAGTGCGAGTGTCATTTCCATGTGATTTCTACCTGCTTTTACCATTAGATCCCTTAATTCTCTAATGTTAACAGGGAAGCAGGCGACGAACGCTTGGAAACGGCTATTCTAAATGGCTTCTCATAGTATAATATTTATTTATTTCGCCCGGCCATCCACTGTATTATAGCAGAAAGGAAAAGACATTGCGCTAGCTGACTAGCAATAGAGAGGAAGGAATATCAATCCTAGAGCAGAGGTACTTTCGGCCTGCGGCAGACGCCTCAACGAGTATGGAATTCAAGAAGTCAAATAATTTGAATAAAGTCGAAATTACATCGACCACCTGTTAGAATAAGAGAAGATTGGAACTTATTCCGTACGAAAGGTGCGACGCGACCTCAGGCCATTTCTCTCTTACAACACGCTTGAGTAGGTAACTAACTATATTCTCCACCAGTGAGATATAACCCTACAATAAAACCATTCCATTTTCGACTTGTAGCCGTGTCACAACTAGAAACTCCGTTGCATCATAGCCCTAGTTCTGAATGGTTGAACGAGACTATTGACCGAGGTAACGATAGCCCAACGGTGGGTCACTGTCGCTTAGACCCGTAATCTCCACTATCTGTTCATCTCCCGGCACAATATCTATAGCGCTGTCGCTGATCCTCACATTTGCTCGCTCCTCAAAGACAAGACATTTCACCGGTTTTCTTGAGCTAATTGCAAGGAGCTGTCGCCCGGCTGAAGCTCCTGGCTGCGACTTCACTTCCAGTCCGCGATCCGAAAAGTCGAGATACTTCAACGGCTGTGGCCAGTCAACGTCCCTGGCCACAATCTGACCGTTTATCCATAGCCGCGCGGCCAGAACATGTGGCTCAGGCTGGGTGGCATGATCAATGATCCCACTTGTTATCTCCGAAGTACCATTAGCCGAAATAGTCACGTTCTCAAAGACAGCCGGGGCGCGCAGGTCCCTTCCCGTCTCCACGGATAGGAATCGTAGCTCAACAGTTCCATGTAGCACATCCTGTCGGCTGCTAGTAACCCACACCTCGTACTTGCTCTGTTTAGCGGGTTCTGCATGCACCACACTCCAGTCGTGATGGGCACGCTGTACACTGATCGTAAGCGGCTGCATCGCGCGCTTAACTGTGTAATACGCAGGCTTTGGCTGCAAGAAGTAGTCCACAATTGCCCATGAGATCGTTGGCCAGCAGTCATTCAATTGCCATAGGAGTGCTCCACCACATTTTCGATCATCACCCCATTGGCGGCGCCACCCACGATATCCGAACGTCATCGTCTCGGCCTGGATGACCTGTGTGAGGTAGATGTATGTCTAACTAGAGCGTGAGTATTTTATTCTTCCTTTATGCCTCAATTGAGCGGAATAAATAACAGACCTCCAGGTCGGTAGCCATGCGTAGGTTTTCCACCAAATACGTCGCCAATCGCCTCTCGTGGCCATCAGCCTTGTTATGGAAGTCCATAACTTGTGACTGTGGGTGCTTGTCTTTCTCGTTTTCCACAAAGTACTCGATTGTCGACATGTGCGGGAAGCCTACCATTCCAAACTCACTGTTGAAGCGCCCTCCCAATGTGTCAAAGATCTGATATTTCTCCTGCGTTCCATGCCACACTGTAGATCTATCAGCAATGATATTCGACTGAAAATCTCTTTGAGATTTCCTTTTGGGAATTGAATTTGCTGACCATTCCATTGATGTATATCTCCTACGGTAGGATCGGTCGTGAGTTTCCCATCTCCCCATGGGCTTCCCGGGTGGTAAAAAGTACTCGGCGAGTACTCTGATACCACTTCTGGAAGTATCTTTTCATAAATGTAGCGCGCTGGGAAGTCATACTTCAACCAACTTTCCGGGTCCTTATCTTCGAAGTTGTAAGTGAGTCCCGTCTGCTCCTGGAATTGATAATCTTCATTGTTGCCAACGTAGATCACAATTGAAGGACGATGTCTCAATCGGCGTATGTTAAAGGCTGCCTCCTGTCGTACGGAATCTAGTAGCTCAGGCCATACTGGGTAGTTGCCGCAAGCGAACATGAAGTCTTGCCATACAAGCACGCCAAGCTCATCGCAAGCATCATAGAAAGCATCGTCTTCGTAGATCCCGCCGCCCCATACTCTGTTTCCAACTATTGTTAGACATTCTCTCAAAGGAAGTTCTGCTCTAACATACCTTGTCATCACCTGGCCACCCGCCACCATTAGCTCGATCCATTTCCGGTATCGCTCTGCGCTGATACTAGGGAGCAGACTATCGGCAGGGATCCAGCAAGAACCTCCACAGAAAATGTCCACTCCGTTGATTCGGAAAAAGAATGATTTTCCATGTTTATCCGGTTGCTGAACGACCTCGGCGGACCGAATGCCGAATTTCTTGGACACGTGGTGTAGCTCGTTTCCATCGCATAGGAGTGATACTGACACTTCATACAAGGTCTGCGAGCCGTAGCCATGTGGCCACCACAGTTCGGGATTGTTGACCTCAAAAGTAGCCTCGGCATTTTTATCGGCGCTTGTAGGGATATCCTGGCGGGCGATTTCATGTCCGCGTAGAGTCAAATGGAAGCGAGCGACGCAGCCTTCCGGATTAACCGCATCCGCTTTAGCAACTGCGGTGACACTCGCCGTCTTGTGGTCAGCAGCGAGGTGTGTCTGTGGCCATAGGTCTTCCACTCGTGCAGAGTAGACTTCCAGTCGCACCTCACGCCAGATACCGGCCGTCATGATGACTGGTCCCCAATCCCAACCCCAATGGTATTGAGCCTTGCGCACGGCTAAGCGGCCCATATCTCCAAACATGCCGTACCATTTATGACCAGGGTCTTTGTTGCGAAGGTCGATTCCTTTGAGCAGGGCGCAATCGAATTCGATCTCTAGCACGTTTGTGCTCTTGGTTGACTCCAGGGCTTCTGTGATCTCCAGACGGTAGCCTAGGAACATATTGCTCGACTCGAGGATTGTCTCGCCGTTGAGCCTGACTGAGGCAAGAGTGTCTAGGCCGTCAAATACCAGCGCCACGGTCGCACCGGCAGGGATTTCCGGTCGTTGAAAAACGTGTCGATACACCCATGTCTTCTCGTTGACCCAGCGTGCCTTGAGTTCGTTCAAGCCTAGGTAAGGATCCTCGAGCCTGTACGATAAAGAAACGTCAGTCAGTCGAATCCCAAGTCCACAAGGTTGTTGTATCTCAACTTCTTGTTTGCCATGAGATCCTGCTGCACCGTGGAAGGCACTGCCCGCACGGGCATCCATGCATCCGGTGTCTCGTCATCTCGGTCCTTGAACGTCCACTCCGTAGACAGGGGTTGTTTGAAAAAAGTCATTTTCGTGGCTCAAATTGAAAACAAGTTCCTTGCTGGTGTTTCACGGGACGTTCGATCGGGGGTAGTTCAGAGAGGGTGGAATGGACCGATTTATATCAGACACTTGAAAGTAACTGGGTCCATTTATATCCAGGTCGAACCATTGAGCGTGGAATCTGCAGAAAACAAACCAAGCATATCTGAACAGGATGCAATCATCGTCCTCTCGACACAATATCTTGAGAGGCCGCCAGACTACTTCTACTACTCGCCCCCACCTGCAATGCAGATCGGCCAAAAATGTCACGCTCTGGCCACCCTTATTCCGTCAAATTGCCTATTCGAGCAGAAAATGGGCGGAGGGTCCGATCGAAACAAGTAGTACCGAAGAACTCCGCCTTTTGATATGTTTTACAGTGTTCGCTTCATCTCTTTCCCAGTGCAGATTCTGTTCTCATTATCAACTAAAGCAGGGTCACCATCCATCCATGGATGGATGGTCACATAATTTTCTGGTACAGTGGGACCGAAATATTGGGCTAAACCTTCAATGTCTGTACCCATATATGCCGCCCTGTATATACAACATACTGCCAACCTCTATACCCTAGGTCACGTCCCTACATGCTAACTATGTTGGGAGCCACTGGCAACCAGCAGAACTTGGAAGGTATATCGGGCGGTATATATGGCCCAATATTTGCCCAGGTGGGAGGTAATAATCTTCCTCATCTCTGACACTAACAGAACCTTGGAACTTTGAACAAACACGGATACACGAATACCGGGTTTTTATGCACGATACCAGTGCTTCCATGATCCGGCATATAACTGCTAAGACACCGCCAAGCCTTCTAAGCTTTTTCCCCTTAGTCGGAACGTTCATTCTTCCTGTCTCTTCTATTCTCGTCTTGGTTTGGATGTAAATCCAGTCCTATCATATATATATATGGCCTGACCCCATGAACTGTGCATTGTTATGCTCCGCAAGACATCTCAGCAGCGTAATGGCGCTAGCACTTCCACCGGAACTGTCGATTCAAATCGCAACGCTACTGCAAAATGATGGGACATCTCTAGTTCCATGCACTTCTGTTTGTCACTTATGGCAGGCGGCTTTTGTGCCCTTCATTTACTCTAGGGTAGAAGTCTATAGCGATAACCATAAAGAAGAGGGACAACGTGGAATTTCTCACGTAACTCCGAAAACTTATATCCGGCGATCGTGCTATACGGCAAACCAGGATCAAAAGAGTAGAGGACCTCCTTATCCCATACGAACTCTTAGAGTGGACGACGCGTAAAGAGTGGGGAAATCCCCAAGATTACTCTGTAGAAAATGCTATCAGAAAGGCCAATGATCTAGCTTTTCGGGCGGCTATGGTTAGCCTTTTCCAAGAGCTTCGCTCCTAGGACCATAGTGCCCGTCTCAAATTGCATCTAGGCCTTCGAGGACGTCGACATAGCCCTGCACCAGAGCCATACACTCAGCACTGGGATATCGCTGGTGATTATCGTTGGGATTGTAAAAGAGGACGCACATTTTCGACAGCCCCGTATCGGGCGCGATTTGTTAGCGATAATCCAGAACTCGCATCTGTTCCGTGTATTGAGAAGCTCTCTTTCTTGAACCATGATGGCTCCTGGAATCAGCATCATCAGATCTGGACCGGAGCAGTGCAAAAAATGCAAAATATAATTCAATGCTGTCCAAAATAACTGAACTAAAGCTCAATCTCAACGAATGGGTCCGTCCGGATCACTTAGAGTATTCTAAGCACGTCGTGTAGTAAGCCATACCCATCCTCGTTATTGATTTCTTTAATCCTAAGCATATTTGACTAGTACCTATGTAGCACTATCTTCTCTTATCGGTTCTATTCCAAAGAGCTTAAGGGTACTGGAGTATGAGGGGGAGAGGGACGGTCCGTGGAAGCCGTCTATGCCTGCGCTCAATGCCATCCCTTCGGGGATTGATAGCATGACCCTTAATTTGCGAGACTTGAGCGTTCAGCTTCGGGAACTAAAGTTGAAAAACACTGCTATTCCGTTTGACTTTATATCCTTTAGACAGTGAAGGCAAGCCTGAACTAGGTTCCTTACACTGACCCTATCAGGAAATATTGGAGGTTGAGCGTGTGCCGCCCTGCCTTCCTTCGGGTACGTAATCTGTCTGTCCCAGACGAAAAAGAAAGCAAGACGTGCAAAGTGCACAAGGCGGCCAACAATAACTGAACTAACAACAACTGAACTAAACAGGAGAATTGACTTTCCGCCACACGGCGGAGGATCAGGCCGAGATCGACCAGATTGGCGACTGGGAAGACGAGATATGTGATGTGAGCGGCGATGGATCTGGCCATCAGTGAGGGTCGAAGAACAATTCCATCGAGTTTTCATATCGCTAGGCTACGCAGCCCAGCGTATGCTCGCTTTAAAACGTATGAAATTCGAAGTCGAGGGCGACTCCCAGTTCAGTCTCTATTTTCGAAACGCCGACGAGATTACCTTGGGGTGGGAGTGCTACCCCGAGTATCGGCCAGATAGTCGGGTTTCAAAGGCCTGGAGCGTTGCCTTGGATGATCTGAGGATTGACTTTCCGCGCGAGGATCAATGTTCTGTAATACTTCAAAGCTGGCCGCTGACGTGCCTGTCTAGCCTCGGCTCGTTTGCATCTACGTAGTTATCAAAATCGGAATACCTATGTAGCTAGTCGGGCACCGGCAGCAGGCAGGGATTCACCCTTATTACAAGTTCTATGTCCAACTCGAAGTGGGAGAGGAGCACTTTAGCAGAGTATGCCAAGTACATCAGGACTGGTGGATGCCTGATATATATCGTGCTCCGGAAGTGCTTTTGAAACTCCCTTGGGGATTCCCAGTTGATATATGGTCAATTGGTGTAATGGTGACTCCAACGAGCACCAATCAAACACATAAAAGTGGTACAACGCAAAATGTTAACTGAAGCCCTCAAATATAGACACTCGAGCCCTTGGAAGGAAAAACCTCTTTGATCCGGTTGATCGTGTCCATGGGCAATATGTACTCCCACTGGCTTTGGCACAATACATAGGATACCTTGGTCTCAAACCTCTTTAGAGGGCTTTGTCACGAGGATCCCACCCGGAGAAGAAAGGGCCTGTTCCTCCGGTTCATACGCAAGATTCTGACATGGGACCAGGAAGTTAGAGCCACGTCATATGATCTCGCACTGGACGATTGGCTCATGAGGCCAGTTGACGACATGCTGTAGACGTGAGATTATGATTTGTCAGGAATAGAAAATCGCAGAAACGAGAAAATAAGTGCTGGTAAGTGACCATTCTTATGAAGTGAATTCCCCCAGTCGTCAATCTGCCGTCCTAATTTATAATTATTTGCTGTTGGATTAGAATTGATGCCTTTCTCCAAATTCTCCATCAGTTGAATCCTCTAGGGAGCGTGTACTTGACTGATTGTGTGGTGATCCTCTAGGTTCCTTCCTTGATCCCTTGCTTTTGGAGCGAACGGGCTTGCCCTGTTCTGTTGCAACCTGAGTTCGCAAGCAAAGAGTTCAGCCTTCAAGTGTGGCGTATTCGCAGAACAAGGATTTATTATCTAGGTGACAGGAATTGAAGATGATATCCTCCTCCTCCAGAACCGTTCGTGGGACTTTTACTTGTTGGAAGGGTCTACCCATATTTATTGATTTATTTGTCAAAAGTTTGTTGAGGCCTTTCCTATTCAGTACACACAACATCCCTTTAGAATACGTCTTTAAGGATAACCACATTCGTTAACACAGAGAATAGAGGGACCATATTCTATTACCTAACGTGTGCTACCACCGTTCATATAGTGCTTGCCCTCTAGCTTCCGCATTGCAACCTGTCCCGCATCCTCTTCACACAATAGAGTATGTAGTGGCGGTAAACAGGTTGTGAAGAAGTTTCAAGCATTTATAAATAACATCAGGAAGAGCTGGAGCACTATCCATTTCTTACGTGGCCCCCGGGAGGGGTAAAGGTGAGTTGTGTATTCATCATCAGCCCTGACAACGAGTCCGAAGGAAGGTGGAATAAGGAGTTCACAGCTGCTGCCAACGCCAATGGAAGCTGGTATCACCGAGTTTACCGGTGACATAGAGGGACTGGCTTTTCCACTGTGGTAATTCTAGAGCTAATACATGCTAAGAACCCCGACTTCAGGAAGGTGTATTTATTAAATAAAAAGCCAACGCCCTTCGGGGCTCCTTGTGAATCATACTAACTTAACGAATCGCATGGCCTTGCGCCAGCGCTGGTTCATTCAAATTTCTGCCCTATCAACTTTCGATGGTAGGATAGTGGCCTACCATGGTGGCAACGGGTAACCGGGAATTAGGGTTCGATTCCGGAGAGGGAACCTGAGAAACGGCTACCACATCCAAGAAGGCAGCAGGCACGCAAATTATCCAATCCCGACACGGGGAGGTAGTGACAATAAATACTTCGTTCCTCCTCATTCCTATTCTGCCCTTGCTCCTGCCGCCACCACAAGAAAAGAACTTGAAGGAAGCAGTCGTTGGGGCTCTTCGGATTCTTGACTGTGATTCACGCTCTTCCTGCTCTCTGTGTCTCCTTGCAGGGCTTCCGAGCTTCGTGAAACTGCACAATATACTACTATCCTCGTCGTCAATATATCTGGGAGGGCTATGCCAGCTAGAACGCATGGCAATGGAGACCAAAGAGGTTTGGGCGAGATTCAAGGAAGATTGGAACAAAGGGGTCAGCATAGCCCACTCAAAAGGGTCAGAATTGGAATTCGAGAATAAGGGATGATAAAGAGATGCATGTGTAAAGGGAGAGAAATGGATATGAAAGGGCAGAGACATGTCAAGACTGGAGTCAGATGGAGCCTGACCATGTGCAGGAAGCGGAAGCGGGACATGGGAGTTTGAGACTTCGCTCTCTCTCCTAACACAACCCTCTCCCTTCGGATCTTTAGCCCCTACAAGCTGTATTGTCTGAGTGGTTTTTATCGAAGGAATCATATATAGAAGAGGATACGCATACTGAGAGCCGCAGAATCCGAAATTAACGGTTTTATGCTAAGACACTAAAAACGCTCACACAGCATCCACTTGGGAGTTATATTACGTAAGATTGCCTATTTGAGCATAAGGAGGGCGGAAGTCCGATCGAAATAGGAAATCCAGCAGAAACTCCGCCAAAATGCAGTTCCTGTGCGAATATTTACACATTCTCAACTAAAGATAACGATTGTGAAGAATTATACCATCTAGTCTGACGCCTTATCCTTTTTCGTAACATTTAGCTATATACTAGGTACTAATCTCATAAATATCCTTCTCCAGTCCCTTTGTGGCTCCCCTCGTTGTCTACTTCCCTCTTCAATTGTGAGGCGATACTCGTCTCCTTTGAACTATGGTAGAATTTTGAGACTAGCGTTGTACCTGAAACTTCATCCGCTTATATAGAAAGACCCGCACGGGATGAAGAAGGAGAAAAGTGTCTTTTTCTCCTATCTTCCAAATTCACAGAGAATTCATGTGAGCTCCTCAATATAATATGAAGCGAGACATGAAACTTGATGATCCTTAAGGATGATCATTTCCAAGTTTTGCACGGGAAGAGGAGACAACATACGGTCCTGTTGTTCCAGATGCCGATCTATACGTTGTAGATGACATCTACGGCTATCAAATCACCATTATAAAAGGAAGCCGCTGACCTCCAATTCTTTGGAAGCATCACAAATCTACCTAAATCAACCAGCAAACAAGTCCATCCTTTTTTGTCTTATTCCAAGATGCAGCTGCTCTCTCTTTTTACCTCTTTGGCTCTCGTGTCTGCGGTGGTCTCCTCTCCGGCAGCAGACTTGAACGTGAACGTTGCCCGCGCAGGTGATCACCATGGCAGCTATACCGTCCCTGGTCTCGGGGTTCGCAAGCAGGAGATCTTGAAGGCTGGTGGAAACACTCGCGACATGGCTATTGCCATGCTGGAGACGTGAGTTTACTTCTTTGCTCTCCGCGCTTGATAACCCAACTCACGAGGATTAGCGACACCATGACCACCGATTACAAATATGGTATGTCCAAATGTTAGCGGGCAGAACTAACAGCGGTGCTAACATTCACACTTTAGGTGACGGAAAGACCGGCGATGGCACCAACTTCGGCGTGTTCAAGCAGAACTGGTTCATACTGAGACATTCTGCAGCTGACTTCAAGGGTTCGACTGTTGACCAGGTCGACGATGGTGTTATCCTCAAGTAAGTTATGGAGTGATCTGCATGCCAAGATATATTAGACTAATGCTCGAGCACTAGTACCGATCTGGCAAAGGACATCAAAGCTCGTCATGAGGGCGAGGCGCATTACGGGTATGAAAAGTGGTTCAGTGGCCACCGCAACGGAGAATCGGGTCTCAATAACCCTGGCACTGATGACATCAAGAGTGAGTTCCCTCTGATATGGTCCCTAGTGCACGAGTCGCCCGGCTGACTTTGTCCACAGCATACATGAGTGGCGTTGCATGGATCCAACAGCAGCTTGAGAGTGACAAGAAGTACCAGAGCGACGATACTCGATTCTTCGTTCAGGTCGATGCTATCTAGACGCAGTGCTGGAGCCCCTCTCGCGGATAACTCGCTACATATCTTTGAATAGGGCTTTGCGCTCTATACTATGTGGTGTGCTTGGCAGCCGTGCCACATCCCTTTTGGGGCACTTGACATTCTTTTCGTTCACCCGCTTGGGCGATATTGTATTATCACTCCTGTAATTTGAGCCTTGGGTGTGAAATACTCACACGAATACACTCTTTTAAGTCACAGGAAACACCAAAGTTTATCCGTAGTTGGCAATTAGTCGTGCATCCCCGAGAGAAGTAGATGAAAAAAGCATTGTTACATGCTTCTTTCAATTTGAGTACTAGTGATCTAGGTCCGCTGCTTTCGCAAGGACCCTACAACTAGTAAGAAAGCCCCAGCATTGGGTGCAGTTGAACTCGCGGGTTGCTTTTGCTACCTGTTCCACAACCGTCTTTTAACATGATGGCGTCGAAGCTTTGAGCATGAACGCCTTGTAAAGTAGCGCCGACACACTGATCGGTGTTGACAACTGGAAACAAGACAGTTCATATTCCTAGCTTTTTCAGATAATTGTCGAAAGCAGACTTCTCGCCCCAGAGACCAGAGCTGCGGTTCTTATAAATCCAAACATCCGGGGTGCCGATTTGTTACCTTCCTCGTACGCGTTGGCTAGAGGCCCATGCAGGGCGGTATTCCAGGTTCCCCTCATCATCACCCAACCGGCGTTGGCCCAGCTGCCGTCCTCCAAGGCGATATTTCTGAGCTCCGTGCCCGGCAATTTGGTAAGATTCGGCCCGCAGCGTCGCTGATCGAGCGAACGTAGCCGTCGTAGAGTTTGCCATTCCAAAGGCGCAAAGCGAGCCCTTGGGGTTGAGCACGCCGCCAAGGAAATTGTCTGCCAAAGCTTTCTCGAGCTTGCGGATTGAAAGATGGAGGTGCAGACCACTTGAGGGCCCAGACAATGTCGGTTTCGGAGTCATAGTAGCCTTGAGATTCCGACGTACGCATATTGCGCGAATGGCTTCTTGTGACAGAACAAGAGAATCGACGGCTCCCATCGCAGGTTCAGGGGTAAGAGCAATCTCCAGCTGATCCTGGGCCTCCGCGTGAAAGTGGTGGATCTCGATGGAAGACTTTTCGAGAGCTTCGGCTATCTCTTCGACCAGGCCCAATGTTTCCCCGCGCAGTCCAGAAGAACAAATTCGATCTCGAAGCTTATCACGGCCTTTGTATCCTATTCTGCCTCAAGTCCTTTTAGAGTTTGGACCAGCAGCATGAGCGGGCACTTGTCGAACCTCTTGTGGCATCCTTCTGATCAACAAAGCTCATGACAGTCGCATGCCCGGCCCGAAAGCCCCAATAGCGCAGAGACGACCAGTCAGGACGCAGAATTCATGTCCCATGGTAGTCGCTAAGAGAAAGATTCTCGGGGCGATAGAGATGGGTATGATCATACTGTTCTGGGCGAGGTAGATGGTCTGCTGCCACCGGCAATTTCGAGGCGGCGAGCAATTGTGATGGACCGGGCGCGCGGGACGCCAGAGTAGTTGGTCGATTAGATGCGAATGTACCTAGTGGAATCGTCCATCCGGAGAAACGCTTCGAGCTTCTGCCTGTGAGATGGCATGGTAGGAGGGGTGGCAGATAAGAGGTATCGAGATATCCGGAAAGGCAATGGGGAGGCAATATGCGCTCACTTCCTGTAGTGGATGTGACGAGTGTTTGATCAATCGATTAGGATTAGCACGCAAACGCCAAAGTGCAGGGTCTCAGCTTTCCAAGACCACAGACCCCATCAGATCTGACTGTAAACACGCCCAGCGCATGACCGACTTTTCTCTTTGTACATTAAGGGGATTTATCCCGAGGTCTCCTAATCAGCTTACTAGCTCAAATCGCTGTGTTTGCTCTTTGTTCCTCTTTCGCTCGTCTCTTTGGCTTTTGCCTACCTGTCAACGAAATCACATTATCTTCCACATATCCATCAAGCTTCTCTTCCACCATGAAGCTTAGCCATATCGTTTCATCTCCCGGCGCCAGAGAAGCTGCGATATCCTTCATTCTCACGGGGAACTTAAATAAGGTGATATGGCATAACTGTCAGTTCATCTGAGATTCGCGTGGATTATTTGATAATGCCTTTGATGATGAGGGAAGGTTGTATAATAAAGACAGACATGGAGAATGTGTCAAGCAAATCTTACGAAGACCCATTCCAACCGCCGAGATTGAGGTCCATACTTCGCGCCATGGTAGTGTTCTTCATCTTGCCGACAGAAGGGAGAGCGGTGATGATGATATCCTTGGGTTCGAAACATCAATATGGCCTATATCTGACATTCATCTCAAACATCGTCCTCAATTCCATAATCCTTCAAATCCTCCATTCCGGGCAATGCATAGACGGCACTATGGGCCCCTCCAAAATATTTCAGATGTCGTTTCCCCCGAAACTCCATACCGATCTTTTCTAGGACTCTTCGACTGCGCTTGTCATTTTGAGCACAGAACCCAAACACGCCCTCCACCCCTAATTCTCTCTTTGCATAGGCGATCAGCCCGGTCGCCGCTTCAGTGGCATATCCCTTCCTGTTCTCTTGTGGCAGAATAGTGTACCCTACGTCAGGCGCTGTGTATGCGTTCTCTCCATCACCCTTCATCAGGGAAACGATTCCAATCGGTTTGCTTTCGGCCAATGAGGCCCCAGGGTGCGGTTTCAAAGACACAAGCATCTGTCCATATCCATTTTTCTTGTAGTTGCTTTGGACTTTGTTAGTGATGAACTCGCCGATCTTCTCTTGTGTATCAAGGCCTGTGTTCCCTTCTGCCTCGATAAATTCATCTGTATTCCAGAGGTGGTGAAGAAAGGTGCTGTGCGAAAGGTTTCCTGGCTCAAGGCAGGAAATGTGCAGCCGTTCAGTCGCGATACTGAAATGGGCTGGGATCAAGGTACTTGTCATAGTGGGCATGTATGGAGTGGTGCCGTATTAATATAAAAGAAGGAACTTAGTTGAATATATTAGATGGCACTGCTGAGCTGTAACTGGCAGATAAGGCCATAAACAAGGGCGATGATTGTGGGAAAGATAAATGAAATGGTGCGCCCTATAAATAGTTAGCCGACGGGAATATTATTAGTAAGTGAGCTGGCCTTCGAACCTTAGAAAGAGCCCTGCCATTCATATTTATCAAGAATAAAGTCAACATGGCAACCTAATCAATGCCGATGTACATGTGAGAGAATGGTATAATTTAGGTAAACTTATACTACTTAACAGTGCAAGGTCGAAGTCAATCAACCAGAATAGGTATCCTAGGCGTCCAGCCCAGGGGACACACGTTCTAGTAAGAGAATCGAGGAGAGCTATAGTAGCGGAAATGCCCTGCGCAGATGAGCGGTTTGGGGAAAGGAAAAGAGCCATATTGTCTTAAAATGAGGCCACAAAGCTATACATGAGCGATAAACGACTTAGATAGGGTTTTATTCTCGGTCCTCTAGCTAAACAGATCCCAAATAGTGTCTCCAGGTCTTGCCTGAGGCATTACGCTGATAGGTTCTTGTTCTGTCTGGCGCGCCAATTTCCACAACAAGTTCTGATCTCTGCAACGGTGCACAACACCTTCACCATTGATATCATCACGTAGTATGTCGCCATTCTTATCCAGAATGCTCTTCGGCCTTTCAAGCGTTCCGTCCGCTGAACAAAGGAGTGATTGTGCAATATATGATAGGCAATGGCCTGCGTGCGCCTCATCTGCATGCGAAGAGTGATGACTGTCGCTATTGCTGTCATGATTGGATTTTATCTTCACAATATCTCGTAGCAAAGTGAGGCAATGTAACGAGTGGAACATGCTAATACCCCACCCTGTTCGGTATGTCTCGTTATGACGAACCCAAAGGAACCCGCCATCATTTGTCGTTGTCAATTGTTTCCAGGCAGCATCTCCGACGGTTGAAAGATCTTCCAACTCTTTGGCTGTGTGAAATTGGTATAGGTTGGTACTTCGGGCAGTCGACGCAGTGTCTGAAAAAGACGGCATGATAGAGGTAAGAGGGAGGTAAGGCCAGGAGAAAAGTAAGCCAAGGCAGGCTATAGCTAGCACTGCGATGGTGCTTGATATTGCTGAAAGAGATGTCGGAATCTTCAAGGACATGATGCTAGACAGGTGATGCTAGCTTTGTGTTCGCCAGTTCCTTGTAAGAATAAATTATGTGTAGACCGCCCCAAAGAAATATATTCCGGCTGCCGCCAAGATTTGGTATGATTAGATACCAGGAAGGAATTGTATTTATACTGTACTAGGCTCGAAATTTACAAAACCGTGCAGTACTCAACGAAAAGCCGTTACGTTTGTATACCTGCCCCTCACCTTAAGTTTTTCTTTTTTTTTTGGATTTTGATGAGTCCCGCTCCCATGAGCTATCTGTAGATGCGACCTCGGCAGAATTATTATTATTACTCTTAGCTCCAGAAGGATGCAGATCCTTAAAAAACACTCGGTTACCCTAAAATAGTTAGACTATCTATGCACCTTCATGTAAAATAAGCACGTCTAAAACATGCATTGGACCTAAATATTTAACTTTTCTAGGGAGCGCCGGAGTCCGCTGGAATTGGTCCCAAATCGATTTCGCCACGTAGTATTATGTATGCAAGGAGTAGACAGCGTGGTGGTGGAGGGCGTAGGGAATTCCCTTCGGTGACATGGCCAGTGTGCCGCTAACCGCTGGACCCTTCGGGCGAGCCGAGGGCGGGGAGACCTTGGAAGTGAGTATTGCTTATTGTCAGAACAGAGATAGGTATGGCCATACAACATAGGTCCTAAACAGGTAACTGCTTTTCTTTTGTGTGCTTTCGTAGGAACCGGCCATGACACGTCCTTCCAGGCACTCAGTTTCGAACCCTATTACCATCTCTATGTAGCCGTACATGATTTGAAACAAGGTTCTTCAGATTTGCAGGACTCTAAGTCCATTGTATATGAAATATTCGCACTAATAATAACCATATATGTATCTCGTACTTCACTCTCTACCCTGATGTTCGGTCCCCACCGAAACTGCAGTCCATGTCGGATCTGGGTTGTTATGGAGGGGAACTCATCTCAGCGACTCCAGCCGGCTTCATAGGCATGAGTGGGGTATGCTCGGGGAGCTGATGCTGCTCTGTCCATTCCAGCACTTGCTCATAGTCTCTGCAAACATGCTCGGTATTGAAATTGGGCCATGGCTTTGAACGACCTTCGACCCACTACTCGGCTCAGTCAGTCTCTATCCATCACAAAATAACCCTCATGAATAGAACTTACGTGAGAAGTGACAACGCCAACATCCACATGACACATAATGAATTGACGAAGGATTTCCACGCAGTGATCTAAACAGGTCAAGATCAGTAGATTTTGGGTCTATTTTGCCGCACGAGTACTCACCTAAATGCATTTCAAACATCGCACGGTTCTTGGTAAAATCCGGATCAAAGGCGTCATAATAGTCAAACTTGAAATATGTTGACTTGCGAAGAAGGTTCTACATGATTAACGCTGATCAGCACGTCGCTCACCGAACACGTTTAGAGTTAGATTAAATGGCTATACCAAACAATGAAAATGATGTGTTGATTGCGGAACTAAAAAGTACTGCCCGCCATGCTCTTGTGCATTTTTAACTGCTGTCTCGGGATCGCTGTCAAGGCGTAGGAATTCGTCTTGTGTCAGTTGTATGTCAAGCGGCCGTACTGTTCGGGTTTGTTACTCGGTGTTCTTTCCTCGTCTGGTTATTCAATTCATACTTATAGATATCCGATTCCAAGCTGCATCAACCTCAGGGCTCGGTGGTCCACGGTAAGGTGAGGGCCAGTCAAGGGAGCCATTGACACGGATTACTGGACTGTCAATGTTGAGCCCCTCCAAAAGTGGGGCTATAGTTTCAGTCAGCAGATTGAGCAGAAAGAATGTGGAAGGTGATTGCCTAACAGTAAGATGATAGTTGTTTCTGACAATCCAGGTTGCTATACTTCTCGAACGACCGTCGATTAGCCACAAGGGCGACCGCGAGAAGGACGGCCAGCGCCCATCCGAGATAGGGATGAACAAGACCAAAAGCTCCCGAGGTAGAGTTATAATGGCGACCAAGCATTCGCGGAGGGTGCTGTAAGTCCTGCTGTTGCTCTTCATCTGAATCAATCGCATGGTATCTCCAAACCTTTTTGTAAACTGTTGAGTAAAAGGAAGTCATGTTGAAAACTTTGGTGAGGACAAGAGAGGAGATTGAAGGGAGATGAATAAAGCCCAGAAAGGATCCTCCAACGTTCTAAGGAGGTTGTACATTTAACTAACTAGGCGTGTACTGGAGATAATTACAGGTATTTTAAGATACCATGATCGACAGTTCCCCGCATGCTCAATGTGGATCCACTCTAAGGAACATGTACCATTTACCCAATTCGTATTCTACTAGTCTTGTACATATGCACATACATTGGAATGCTAAATCCCTGCTCTGCTACTAGATGCAAAACCACTCTCCCTTTGCCTCTGTTATTCTATTCTCAATTCACTACCCGAGGAGCGACAAAATTTTAGATGAAACGAGCAAAAGAGTGTATTTAGTGAAAATAAGCAGCTTAAAGACCAAAATGAAAGGCACGGAAGCTTTCTGTCTCCTCCTAACTCAATAGCTACGATCATTAGCTGCATCTCTCTGTCACTCAAAGCGACGCAGCCAGGTCCATTCGGAAGTCGAGATATATCCTTTAAAGTAGTATATTCTCTACTCATCAAAGCCATAGCTGCCGTGCACATAGGCGGAGTTGGTACTGGCCTCGTCGCGCTTTTTCTCATCAAAGCCGTAGCTGCCGTGCACATAGGCGGAGTTGGTACTGGCCTCGTCGCGCTTTTTCTCATCAAAGCCGTAGCTGCCGTGAACGTAGGCGGAGTTGGTGCTGGCATCAGCTTCACTCTTCGCAGACACTTTAATATTGTAAGCTCAATATATCATGACTCAATGCGAGACCAGGGAATATTACCTTCCTCGGAAGCAATAGGAGCTCCAGCCACAAGGGCCGGAACAGCAAATGCGGCGACAAAGAAGGTAGAGATATTGAACAGCATGTTTCTTTTGGATATAGCAGGTTTGGAGAGAAATCTTGAATGGGATGTAGGGAAGCTTGGTGATCAAACTGAAAAAGAACACAATGAAGATAAGTAGGTAGCTTACCCTTCACGATTATATATACCCATCAACCGCTTTGATATGGCATGCAACTAATACTGTATTCGGAAAGCCCGACGACTATCAAAATCCGATATCTTATCCAAGGACTTAGTTCAATTGGGTTCCAATTGCATATCGAGGCTAGAAAAAGGTCGTGGTCGTATCAAAAATACGCAAAACCGGGATTTGAACTAGAGTACAACAGTTTCATGACAGTAGTTGAACCTATCGCATTAGAAAGGCCGGGGGGGGGAACTAAAGCCATGCAGATAGTGGTAAAACGCGGAGTTTTCGGGCGTACATCGTTAACTAGTACCTGGGCAATTCTTTTGTCTGACCTAAGACTCTCGACGCTAACCCCGCACCCTCTACATCAATTCTAAAACACTAAAACGACGCAGATAGCGGTCGAATATCACTTTTTTGGGGAATGCTAATTCTCTCCTCCGACCTAAGAAGCTACATTTGAACGATTTAGATTCAGGCTATGTTATGAAATTGGGTCCTGTCGGCAAATTCTGGATTCCAGAGTCCCTGGTGAGGCTCAAACCCTGGCAATGACATCAAAATAATGGAATATTTCGTAGTCGAGATCGCGTGACATGAAAATCTAGGCTTTCTGTAAAGTACAGGGTTGTATTGCATATGCCAAGCAATTTCAACAATAGCGCAGTCTTATATCTCACCTGCAGGCCGAGGCTGATCTGCAATCTGGAGGAATACGGAAAATCCTCTAGTCTCTTACCAGATAAGGTATAGTAGGATATCTTGGCATCTGTAATGTCCACATCAACGATTTTAAGGGTATCGGGCTACTCCCCACCTTTTCACTGAGGCTCTTGACTCAAACTTTCTGTGAATGCAAGCAAAGTTTCGGTCAATTTTCTAAAGGTAGCCACCCACCAAGGGAGAGTAAGGAAAGAAAATGAAGTATGAGGCAGTCCCAGCCACCGATGAGGGCGAAGAGGGTAAGCCGTTTGGCCCCCCAGAGGCTTGCCCTAGATACATGTACTCAAGAAAGCTACTGGCAACAACATCATTCTTGATCGTGTTGCTTGTTCTGAGCAACATAGGATGGATCTGGGTCGCGCTCTCACAGCCCTCTAGTTCTACCCATCATCTCTCTAACTGTATGTTATTCTTCTCTTGACTTACTACTTCAAAACACGCTTATGCATACTTAGTCCCGACCATTGACATGACCCATACCGCCTTTTATCAAGACACAGCTTTCAATGGCGAGGGCGAGGGAAAACCTCAGGCGGATGAGTTATGGAAGGGCCTCTTCCCGTGTAAGTCGCATCATGCTATATCACAGCAGAGGTTATTAATGTATCCTACAACAGCGGGTAATGGACAAGTGTCTATTTCTAACACAGAAGCAAGCGCCAACAAGCTTCCAGACTCGATTTCAGACCCAGACGCTGATGACAAAGTGATGTATGTTCTCGCGGGATATCATAATCTGCATTGTTTGGTAGGTGTATCCACCTGGGCTGGCTAAGAATGATTCATAAATAATACTTGATAGACAATCCTACGATCTGCATTCTTCCATTACCACGTTCATGGCAAGGAAATGTCACCGTGGCCTCATGTTGTGCATTGCTTGGATCAAGTACGGCAAACCCTCATGTGCAACTTTGACATGACTTTCGTCCCGATGACTGGGCCAAAAGAATTTAAAGATGGGCACGAGCATGTGTGCAAGGATTACTGGCAGATTCATAACTGGACGTCTACTTACCGATCTGCATACGCACCAGGAGATGATGATCTTCATCTTTGAGAAGTGGCATGTCTGGGGTATTTAGATCAGCCGTGAAGGTCTATTTCTGGGTATCTGCGCTAGCAATTCTATTTTCCAGGCAAGAACCTACACGCACTTTGTAATTCAAATTCAAAGACTAGGGGTACGATATGAAATTTCCAAATTTTAAGAGCAATATGTTAAGATTGGTATTAAATCATGTGGCCTATACTAACCCTCAATTCTTAGCCAATTTAGGGTGAAGAAGCAAATTCGGATCATCGGGATTGAAAGATCGCTTTGAAGCCCATTCCTGGATTTTCTCCCAATTCACGCATTCGTGAGTCCTCCGAAACGAAGGCTTTGGGGCCATGTCATCATCGACCCAATGGAACGTCATCAAAGACAAATCTGCGTTGCAAATCAGGTTTTGTCGGATGCTGTCAATACAGTGGTCGACATGCGTTGGAGTCCATGGCATAGTATCATTATAGTAGTCTTGGAAGACAAAGTGACGGACGTATTTCTTTTTGTTGGTTTCCATTAGTGCTGTCCGATCAATTATTACGCCATTTTATGCTTACCAGACAATGTAACTGATGAAAGACGTCGAGAATGCCGTAGTAGCCGGAGCCGTCTTCAAGGGGAATAGATTCCACGCCTGATTTGGCCAACTCCTCGCCTGAGACACGAATATTGGCATGGAATAAGAGATCCTGCCATGCTTTGTCAAGCTCCGGCCGAGGAGGACCTTTATAGACATTGCCACGAAGGACGGAAGCATCGAGGATTTTCTCCTCCTTGGTGACAATGCCATCGGCGGGCGCTTTAGTCTTTTAGTAACACGCTTCCAGGAACAATAGGAGGGTTTGGTAGACTCACAATATACTATTGGATGGCTTTGAGTGCATGGAGAAGAGCATCCACGTTTGATGAAAAATGCTAGAGCTGTTGAATATAAGGCGAAAAACAAGAGAAGCGCAGAGACACTAGCCAATGGCATGCAGTCGAACGGCGCCCTTCTTGGACGCACGGGTGGAGGTTTTTCCGAGTGGTCCGCAAGAAGCCTCTGGTCGTCTCCGATCGAAATACTAGCCTCACTGTCCATGGTCGAGAGAAAAGGAAAAAAGCCGAAAAGGATCCCAAAGAGCGGTGGGCAGGTGTAGGGGATTATGGTTCAGTCTCTAGACTCCGTACGGATTATCAATTATCACTACACATCTTGTGAGCTACGCAGGCGGAAAGACTCCCGCTGCAATGCAACTACGTATTTCCCCTTTTGGCGCAGGGCGCTCAGGCTGTAAATACGAAATACCTTCACATCTGTATTTCAGTACAGCATGCGTATACCCTAGTAATTTTTATAATAATTCGGCAGCCATCCCAATAACTTCGGAACGGAAGCTGTATTATTCACAATGCCCAATGGTGAGTTCTGCTTCAACTCGCCTCCTACCACAATATTCGTCCAAGATGGTATATCTCATCTTGAGCTTGGTTTTATACATCAACCTAGTACACTGCCAGCTTCCATTCCCTCGAGAACATGTACATATTGACTATAAAACGGTCACCATATGTGAGGAGACAGCTGGCGTGGAATCCTTTTCGGGCTACATCCGCTTGCCCCCAGCCACGTTAGAGGAAGTCGGACTAGATCAGTCCTACCCGATAAATATCCATTTCTGGTACTTTCAGAATCGCGAAAAAAAAGAAGATGCACCTTTGACAGTTAATCTAGGAGGTGGCCCAGGAGCCTCGACCTTGATGCAACTGTTTAGGGAGCACGGGCCGTGCAAAGTCAACGCGGACAGCAGTACTACGCGCCTGAACCAGTGGTCATGGAATTCAGAGTCTGATATACTGTATATCGATCAGTCTGTCCAGGTTGGGTTTAGTTACGATCGTCTCGAAGAGGGGGTGCAAAGCGCCTTTGGAGAAGTGTCGCTGGATGTGAACTCAGAGAGTGCGAAGAGCGCGGCAACACCAGGCTCCCGCCGAGGCTTCTTTAGCAGCAATGACCCAAAACAAACTGCCAATAGCACTCAGAGTGTGGTACAGAGCACATGGCTCTACCTGCAGATCTGGCTAGCGATGTTTGATCGGCGTCGATCTTCCAACCCGACGATCAACATCTGGTCGGCCTCATACGGGGGTCATTATGCACCAAATCTAGTGAAATACACACTAGAGCAGAACGCACGGCTCGAATCTGGGGATCTGAGCTCGGATCTGTATAAGAAGATGCACATAGGATCGGTGGGATTGACCAACGCCTGCCTCGATGCCCCCGTCCAATTGCCATACTACGCAGAGATGGCACATGCAAACACATACAACATTTCTCTTATTACCCAAGCCGATTATGACTCTGTGCAGCAGCACTTTACGCAACCAGGTGGTTGTCTGGACAAGATTGCTACATGCAGAGCTGCGGCACCTTCCCAAGCAGACGACTTCGGACAGAATGCAACTGCGAACGCGATATGTCATGAGGCCAACTCCTACTGTGGAAAGCATATAGCGGGCATGCTCTCCACCAGCGGTAGAAGCGTGTTCGACATTGGGTACCCGGATAATGTTCTTCACGACCCGCTGATGGATAGCTATTTTGGCTATCTGAATCAACGTCATATCCAGGAAGCTTTGGGCGTTCCGCTCAATTTCAGCGCCAACTCACCAGTGGTCGCTCAAGCCTTCTCGATGAGCGGTGACAATGTAAAAGGCGGAAGTCTGGAAGCGATAGGAAGTATCCTTGACAGTGGGATCAGTGTGACGCTAATATACGGCGATCGTGATTTTGCTTGCAATTGTGAGTGGGATTTTAATGCCGAAGTGCAAGACAATATTAGCAAGGCCTATTTCTAACCGACGAAAATAGGGCTCGGCGGCAAAGCTCTTTCACAGGCGATAGGCTGGTCTAAGGCACAGACGTTTCAAAAGGCAGGTATTCAAGACCTTGTCATTCCATTGTATCCAAAAGCGGCGCAGGTGCAACAGGGAGGAGGTTTATCCTTCATTCGTGTCTATAGTGCCAGCCACAGTGTCGGCATGCAGCAGCCACAAATAGCACAAACGATTTATAATCGTGCGATCGCGGGTGTTGATATCGCCACTGGGAGCATCCTCGCTGATGCAAGGTATGCCACATTCCATGAATACCCGTCGTGGGAGTGGGAAGATGAGCCACCACCAGTTGCCGAAAGTAATCCGTGCTATACTCTGAACTTGGGACTTTGCAGCGAAAGACAAAGAAGTATGTTCCTTGATGGGTCAGGCACGGTTCAAGATTTCTTTCTTATTGCTGATGGGGAGGGGAACTGTATTCCCAATCCGGTGCGGCCGTGCGTAGGGAACAAGGAGCCGTCGACTTGGGATTCAAAGGTCCACCTCAAAGGGCCCAAAGAACCATCCAGTGGCTTCATCATCTTGGTATCGGCAACAGCTTTGGGGTACGTGGCTTGTGTGGGAATTGTTGGGTTTTTGGTGAGACGTCGTAAACATAGGTATTCACGCCTCTAGAAATGAACAATCTTTGGGAAGGCTATGCAGGGAAGATCATGGAAAAATACCGTGTCACATTCCGAGGGAAGCCCACGGGGAGAGAGAAGAAGAGAGAGAGAAGCTAGCGATCTAGTCCTGTCACCCATTGGTGGCCTCACAGACTAGGCACCCAACAACAATTACACGACAAGCTGGTTTTAAAGAGCGGTCCACGGGTGTCCAGGTAGCTATAAGTTTCTATACAAAGGATCCCTTTACCTTTTCTAAAAAGCTACTGACACACTATTAACCTTTTGCTCGAAAGTCCCATGTGGCAGCTCTACATGGATACCTCCATAATAGGACCCTTGTAGATGTGCCGGGCGCGCACAACGTAGTATATGATGGCAAGGAAGCTGCTACCTCCGATTGCCAGAACGCTCCAGTTCATCGTCTCCACTGTTGGGTCCATTGTACTTGGCCAGAAGCTGAAAAAGATGACGATGCCGATGTAGATGATCGCATAGCCGTTGATCACGGTACCAATAATGCCGGGGCAATGGAAGGGCCCCCAGACAAGCTTTGCACCTGGGACATTGACAATATCATCCTCGTTGTCATTATATCGGGAAATGTCGCCACGGACGCGGCGGTAAAAGAGCAAAACTGAAACCATGAGGTAGGAGAGGTAGATACCCGACACTGCCATAGACACAATGTCCTCCATAGCGGTATTGGAGCCAATGTTAATTAGGGAAAGTAACGTAGCGACGGTTACTGTAAGGAGGATGGCGAAAGTAGGCAACTGTTTCCTGGAAGATATCTTGAATAGCAAATGTTAGACCATGCGAGACTTCTAGTTGATGGAGAAGTCCTTACTTGACTCCACAACCGCCACCCGGGAACTCCCCTATCCCGAGAGAAAGACCAAAGCTGCCGAGACGCTGCAGCCAGTAGACCCATCAGGGAACAGACATAAATAATTATCACGATGGAAATCATGGTCAAAGATCCTGGCACTGAGTTTGTTCCTTCCATGAAGATACCCATAAAGTTATACCCAGTGATTTTCCCCAGCTTACCACCCAGGTCGGAGTCGGTGCAGAACATCATGACAATTATCATACCAAAGCCGAGGCAGCCGTTGATTCCGACACTAATCATAAGGGCATTGGGAATGACGGTCGAAGCATTTGCGACCTCCTCGGACATCTATTTGATGATTTGTTAGCTAGAAGCATTTAGAGGAAAGCGTAGCTCCAGGGAAACTTACATGCACGGCGGCGTCACCTCCAGCGAAGGCAAAGGCGCAGCTGGTCATACCAACGAACCAAGATAGTCCTTGCGTGGCAAAACCTCCTCCATTTTGGAAAGACAGAAAAACCTGCTCTTTTGTGTTATGATCCGCCATATACACGAGGGGAATTATAATGCCGAAGAATCCAAGAATATGCACAACCAAAATGATCACCTCAATGCGGGGCAGCAAGTTGCCGCCGAGCAGGTTCACAACCAATGCGAGACTAAGGGAGCCCCAGACAATCAATGTTCCTTCCCAAGGCAGTGCATTGTAGAGGTTGTTTCCTAGGATCGCGGCACCCTGGATCATCTTTCCCGTTAAAAAGGCACAGGCGGCGAAGGCACTCTGCCAGCCGAGAACAGCAAACCATCCTATAGGTTCAAGTGTCAGCGATAGTGAATAGTTTCAGTCTGCGCATGAGACGGAAATCTACCTGTAACGTAACTAAGGAACTTTTGAAGTTTGCCCGGGGCAAGCATGGCAGCCCAATGGTATTGGCCTCCTGCAGTAGGCGCCCTATTTGACAGTTAGCTCTGACTCTAGCCTTAGATAAATTCAGTATGAGCATCATACATGGAGGCCAATTCCGACAAGACCATGAAGTTGGCAAAACAGCCAACCCACCCGAAAATGTAGGCATATATCGCACCGCCGGAGCCGCCACTGGTATCTGTTAGAGAATGTTGCAAGGTAGCTGGTTTTTGATGTGGGAACACACTTTGTGAGAGGGCCAGTGAAGGTACTAGGCGACATATTAGCGATGAATTCTGTGAAAATTTGGAATTTGACCGACTCACCCAAGCAGGCCTTCCCAAGTACCTAGAATAGTACAGCTGAAGCCGAGGATCGATAGAATGCCGAAGTTTCGCTGATTAGATGGAAGTGTCAACAGTCCGGCCAGGTGAGTTTTCTGACCTTGAAGAATGCATCACATACCTTAAGGACTGGCTTCTTTCCCATCCGCTGGAGATGCGCATTATCACGATCCACCTGTCCCCCGCCCCTGCTGGTGACGGAAGTATTGCTCTTAAATTCATAGGCCACCATTGCTTTTCTTTTTGAGGGAATAGAATGGAGACAAGTGGGAAGTGAACCCCAAGGTAAATATGAAGGATGCTGGGTGAAAAGTACAAAAATAGTGGGAAAAAGTCTAACGGCCAAATATCGGAATGCGGGTGCAAGGGTATACAATTTGGCTGAATGTATGTTACATCGACTAGAATTGCAAGTGCGCGAGTGGATGCGCTAATGCATACATGTGTACGGAGTAGGATTGCAATTTAATCTCGGGCGCCTGTCCTCGACCTGACGCCCCAAGGAGGTTTAGGGCCCAGCATGTGTTATGCGGCGATGTCGATCACACGCGGGAAGGCTCCCGCAGGAACCGCACCATACCCAATTGGACTACGCCACAGTTTTTGTATGTGGGGCCTATATCCGTGGTAGCTACTCATAAGGGCGATAATCAATTGAGGGTTAAACTAATGCGAGGGGGCCGGGGGGCCGGGGGGTAAGAACTCCGGGTGAATCCTTCGAGTAAAGGGGTGGACGTGATAAGAGTTATCCATATTGCCATGTGCTTTCACAATGACTACAGTGAAAAGAAAAGAAAAATCACCGACTAAATGGCAAAGCAGGCAATCGTATAGAACACATATCGAGATCGAGGTGATATGGGAAGGGAACAAGCATGAGATTGGAAACCCAGGAGGAGCCATAGCACCCATTCAGAGACTTTCATTTACGGAATATAGTGATAGGTGCTGAGAGGGGATTTGCATCCTGGTCGCTCTTTTCTGGGCACTGGAAGTCGAACGAGCGCACTACCAGAGGGTACAGCGATATAATAAAAAGCATAAGGCATGTGCTCTCAGCATGATTATACTCTCTAATCCCTTTTTTCCCTTCCATTTTTTTTTTCTTTCCAGACCGATCTCTTTCACCTAATTTGGCTTAATGGGGACACGATTTAAAGGTGACACCAAAGACCCGGCGGTCAATGTCACAAATTGGGTCCTTCTGGTCACAATCATTTTTAGTGTCTCTGCTCGATTGGGAACTAAAATTCGACTATTCAAAAAGCTCACTGCGGATGATCTCCTGATCATTGCGTCTCTAGCCTTCGGCATCGGTCAGAGTATTGTCGTTTCGCTGGCAGTTGGGTCTGGCTATGGAAAGCATTCTACAGATGTCTCCAGCCCCGATATGGACCAGGTGATGAAAGTACGCATCTTCCGTCTTGCTGATTGCTCATTTATTTTATTTTTGGAATCAAGGTTAATGTGCTCATTATCAGAACCTTTTTGCAGGGTCTCTTCTGTACCTCCTAAGCCTCACGTTCTCGAAGCTATCTCTGGTCGTGTTTATCCGGAGTCTTACACCATCCACCAAAGATAAATGGCTCGCCCGAGGCGTCGAAGCCATTGTATATGCCTGGGCAGTTGTTACGATCTTTGGGACTGCATTCCAATGTTCTCTGCCCCATACCTGGGACTTCCAGAACGGCAAATGCTTTAACCTGGTATGTGTCTTCTTTTGTCCCTATCACTTCCTACGCCCGAATCTGGACAATACTAATACGATTCGACGCGGCCTATTCAGTTAACTTGGCGCTACTTCATCGCTATCTCCAACATCGTGACCGACCTCCTGATTGTGGCTCAGGCGATGGTCCTGGTTTCTAGCGTCCAAACGACGCTAGGGCGCCGCCTGGTCTTTGCAGGTATCTTCTTGCCTCGGCTCTTGTGAGTGAACTGGCTCTACGGCGTGCTCCCTCCCCAAAAGTTCCAATCGCAAGACTCATCCTCTTTTCCTCGATAGTGTGACGATCGCAACAATTGGCGAGATCGCCTTTATTAAGAAAGGCACGAGAACGAACGACGCAACATTTCAGATGTGTGAAATCACCATTTTCGAAGTGATTATTCAGTGCCTCAGTATTGTGACAGCCTGTTGGGGACAACTGAACCCCTTCCTGTCCTGGATGCGATCGAACGGACTCAAGCTCGATGGCGTGGAAGACCCGACTTCTTGGAGCTACAAGATGCGCTCGCAATCACAGGGGCGATCCAAGTCGCGGGAGCGCGAGAACAGGTTCGAGAACCACGAAAGCTTCCCTTTGCCGATGCGACGAGATCAAATTTTGGTCACGCACGATTGGGAGGTCGACAGTCAGTCGAGCCAGACGCACATAATGGAGTCGCAGACACACCACTAGGTTAGCAATGGTGACAAATGGCCGAGAAACTTAGCTAAAGGCTATAAATTTATGCTGGGCGCGATATGGACATACTACGTGCTCGAATTGACTTGAAAAATAAGATCAAAGAAGCTTTTCACATCCCGTGGAACGATTTCTCCCGATATAGATAGAGTTTTTTCCAAGGAGTTCCACTTTTCAAACCAGCCTTGGGGGCCTAGTTTCATTGGAGATCGTGGTTGAGCGCATCGTATGACGGGACATGGGGCTGTCGGGGGCCAAAGCGAAACTCCTCATCCTTGCAAGTGGCTAGGCCGTTATATGCGGCATTTTTCAATGATCCATGTCTTGGAAGGTCGAAGGGCTCGTAAATCCAGGCAGCCATTGCAAGTCTCCTATCAGTTCGCAGCTCTTCCCTCCTTCGTTCTGTGTGCCCCCGCTCCTCAACCCGCCCCTTGAAATCCATCCCCATGTCCCCAGCGACCATTAAGCGGGTTTTATTTTCATTCCCGGGCTATATTTCACCAGGACATATCCCCCACCCGTTGTTCACCAAACTGTATTAAACAGGCCTGCCCTGGTGCGAACCACCTGGTCAATACCCTTTGGCTAGACACTTGAACGCGTATCCGAACCAATTGCGACATGGAATCAGCAACCAATTCTCTCATGCTAGAACCAGCGACACCGGAAGATGTCCCGGCCATCACAGAGGTATGGTTCGCTTCCTTCACACAGCCGGTGATCAGAAAACTTTTCCCCAGCACCCCTGGTATGCACCAATGGCACCGGGATTGGCACCTGGGGGACATTCAAAAGTCCCACCACAGATACTTGCGAGTGGTTGACACCGAGTCGAAAGATGAACAAGGCCGACCGAGGCTAGTTGCCTTTGGAAAATGGGACCTGGCCATGCCAGATGAGCGAGGTCGTCGCTTTCCGCAGTGGCATGCAGACTCGCCTTACCAGGAATGTGAGGATTTCATTGCAGAACTGGAGCAGGCGAGGAAACGCGTCATGGGTGATGAGAAACATTACTGTATGAATAATACCCCGTTAAAATTAACAAGGAAGAGATTGTTACTGATGTCCAAAACAAAAAAAAGACCTGGATACACTTGGCACTCACCCTGATTACCAACGGCGCGGAGCTGGCTCTATGCTTGTGCAGTGGGGCTGCGACCTGGCGGATAAGGACGGCGTTGCGGCCTATGTGGATGCCAGCAAGGAGGGCGCATCGCTATACCTGAAACATGGCTTCGTGGATTTCAATCCGCCCGGTTCGGAAGTGGCTGCGATGGCTCGCCCTAAGGCGGCTCCGAGCGATCGCACTTGACCTGCGGACTATACTTCCATGCTGAGAGCTCGGTCATCGGAGAGAATCGGGAAAGTAGATTTCACATTACTGGCTCGGATTGTAGCTCGCACCTAGTTGTTAGGTCTCGCGGCGCTTGATCACATGAACCTATCGCTTTGGTCTTGGCTGTGTGGACTACCTCCTTAACAGACTGAATGCACATGAGAAGTGTCTCTAACTTAGATTTCCCCAAGACCTCTTTCGTGATCTGAGACAATTTAAATTCATTTGGCAGAGGCTGTCATTGAGCAATTCCAGTTAGGGGTAGATAATTTCACGGTCTCGGATCTAATGTCCCAAGACAATTGTTTGAACCTTGACATCGTCTTTGTGGTTTTTCTGCCACTTCTTTGAATACCTGACCCCGAATCCGTTGCTGAAAACTTCTCGGACAGCTTCCAACGGCATCCCTTTGCACTCAGGATAGAAAAAGACTACGAAAACCCAACCGAAGAAGCAGATTCCGGCATAGAACCCAAAAGCACCACTTGGTGTCCAACTCTTCATCATGGAAAGGAAAGTCGATGAAATGATGATATTCGTGCTCCAGCATGTGACGGTGTTCTAGTCCGGCTCGTTAGCACGTGTGTTAAGAACATGTGGAATGGGGGTGGACTTACTAGCATAGTTCCCATTGCGCGGACTTCGAGAGGAATTAGCTCGGTGCCGATCCATGCAATAGTGGCGACGCCAGATGAATAGCAGGCGACGTAGCAAATAATTGCGACGAGGACCAGGATGCCTGGCCAGCCGATATTGTTACTCTGCACAACCAGAGTCTCGGTATCTATTGGGATATATCGGAACGCGATGACAGCGACGATCATGCAGAGAGACATTCCAAGGACGGTGATCGTCAGAATAATACGACGGCCGAACTTATCCACAAGTAGGAGATTGACAATTGAGAAGACGAAATTCGTACCGGAGACTGTGATGCCGACGGCTGTGGCATTGCTAAATCCGACAATGGAAAATAGCGTTGCGGCATAGTACATTAGAGTGTTGAACCCTCCAAGTTGGCTAATTGCCATTATCATGCAGGCGGTTAGAACCGCACGGCCGGTGGCGGGTGTGGTGAAAATACGTTTGAAAGTGACCCAAAGGGATTCTTTGTCCATAGCTTGAGTGACTTCCTGAAGGGATAGCTCGATTGATCTTATTTTAGCTTGACGTTGCTCAACTGTCGATGTCGGGTAGATTCGCAGAAGGACAGCCTGCGCTGCTTCGTGTTTGCCATGAGTAACCAGCTGTCGTGGTGATTCTGGACAGACAAATAGTAACCCGGCGAGTGCAAGAGCTGGGGCAGCTCCAAGGCCGACGGTCGCTCGCCACCCCTCGCCTTTTACCTCAGCAAAACCCGCACCGAGAGCACTTGCAAGCAATTGACCGAACGTGACACTCATGTTGTTGAACGCAACCATGCGGCCACGGTATTGCGCAGGCGCCAGCTCACCAACTGCGGATTGGTGAGCCCATCGAAATAGCCACTCAAGAGGAAAAAAGACTTACTATAGAGAGGAACAATCATAGATGCGCTTCCTACACCAAGGCCCACAACAAATCTTCCGGTCGCAAACTGGGCGACAGAAAAGGCACATGTCTGGAGGATAGTTCCAACCACGAATACCAGACAGGCGCCCCAAATTGGCCAACGACGACCAAATCGATCAGCAGTAAGACCAGCTCCTACTGCACCGACTAGAGCACCACCACTTGTGAGGGATGTCACCATTTCCTGTTCACTCGAGCTAAGGATATGACCGAGAGACGATCCAATTGTGACTAGAACTGAGGAGATATAGCCCGTGTCGTAGCCTGGACAACACCCCATTAGCCACTCATCTCTCATAGTTGCATAGGTAACAATACGTACCAAATAAGAGACCACCGATGGAAACGACAATGCAGATCAGCCAAGCTGTCTTGGAGGCAGCTGTCGCCTCAATGCCGCTGAGGTCGGACTGGTCTTTGACATCGAAATGTTCAGCATGCTCTATCTGCTCGACGTTATCCTTGGATATATCCTCCAATTGCTTTTCTTCTTTGTCAAGGCTCATGTTCGTTGTTAATCTCTGTGAGAATCTCAAATGATAGTGGAGGTAATTATGGGGATGGAAGATGTGGGAGTCAACAGGAGGATTGTTCACAGGCCGTTAGGGTGATTTATAGCCATGTGCCAATCGACAATGCATCAATTCATCTTACCATCGAGCATCCCACGGGGATCGGCACGACTGCCAAAGCCTATTTCCCCACGGGGGTGGACATGGATTATGCTCCCCATTGGTTCCACAGGGATACGAATTGCGGGGAATTGGGCGTATTTGGGAAGGCTGGTGGCAAAATGAGACATTCGAAGATGATTGGATCACCCCTGCGGCATTGGCACCAAGTCAAGACATCACTCTACGCGGGGAATACTTCCCCAACGAGAGTCGATGCTTGGGATGCTGTGACTGTCGTCATATTCCCCGCCATTCCTGCTATTGCTAGGGAAGTTAAACTGGCTATCATACCCACATCACCCGCACTCAGCCTTGAGTGCCGCTTGGCGCTTTGCTTCTGGGCGTAAAATGAACGGCCTGGATAGAGAGTATAGCGCTGTAAGGGTGGTATTGCCCGGTGCCCAGGTGGTGGTTAGCATCCATCTACCCCGGGCCCCCGGGGCTCCGGGGCCGTGGACGATCAGGATACCGGAGCTTTTTTCGAATATGGAACTGGAACCGGGGGCTGAGGCGCATTGATAATTGCCGCGCGCAGAGGGAAGAAGATGTTTAACAAACAA